GGCGAGAAGCCCTACGGTTGCTCCGAGTGCGGCAAGTGCTTCAGCCACAGCTCCCACCTCACCACCCACCAGCGCACCCACCGCGGCATCCGGCCCTACTCCTGCCTGCTCTGCGGCAAGAGCTTCACCCGTAACTCCACGCTCATCCAGCACGAGCGCATCCACACCGGCGAGAAGCCCTATGTGTGCGACCACTGCGCCAAGCGCTTCACGCGCCGCTCGGACCTGGTGGCCCACCAGAGCGTCCACACGGGCATCAAGCCCTACAAGTGCCACTTCTGCAGCAAGTGCTTCACGCAGAGCTCGGCCCTGGTCACCCACCAGCGCATCCACACGGGCATCATGCCCTACCCCTGCCCCGAGTGCGGCAAGGGCTTCAGCCATCGCTCCATCCTCATCGCCCACAACCGGATCCACACCGGCGAGAAGCCCTTCCATTGCCTGGACTGCGGCAAGAACTTCAACCACAGCTCCCACCTGACCGCCCACCAGCGCACCCACCGCGGCGTCCGGCCCTACGCCTGCCCCCAGTGTGGCAAGAGCTTCAGCCGCCGCTCCAACCTGCAGCGGCATGAGAAGACCCACACCACGGGGTCCAAGACCCCGCCTGTACCAGTGCTGGAGTCAGCAGAGGGGTCCCTGGTGGCCCCCACATCCCCGCTGGCTAAGGAGGCTGGGAGACAGAGCCAGAGCATCAAAGAGGAGCAAAGGCCGCCCCAGAATCGAGGAAGGCGTGGGAAGGGAGTCAGGGAGGCTGCTGGCATGGGGCCAAGCCTGAAAACAAAGGAGGAGTCGGCCCTAGAGGAGCCCTCCCCAAGCTGCAAATGAAAGGCCTTAGAATTAAGTGTTGGCCCTGCAGCTCTGTCTCAGGCCTCTGCCGGGAGCCAGGAGGCATCGGAGGTACCTGGCTGACTGTGGATCCTCACTCAGGTCCCCCTTGGTCATTGCTTTTAGGGTGCCACTCTCCCATCCGAGCCTGGGCCCCTCTACAAAGCCCTTTGCAGAGTGGGGATTGAGCCGGTTGGCAGAAATACCAGTGCACACAGGCTTCCAGGCTTGAAGGACTCCAGACTCCAGCCCTGCCAGGGCAGGAATGGCTGATCCTGGTTTAGCCATCTGGGCTTCTGCTCTCTGCATCCTGGGAACATTGCTTTCAGCACCCATGCCTCTCTCAGTCTCCTGCCCTCGAGACCTAGCTGGGAAGCTCATGCTTCACCTGACACCCCCACCCCTCCTCTCCACTTGCCTTGCTCTGGGCATTCTCCATTGTGTGAGTGGGCACTGAGTGGGCACAGTGAGCCCGCCACATCCTGCGAGGAGCCTCCATTTCCCAAGGACCCTGTCTCATCCTGGATTGGTGGGAGCTTCCTCCACCTTCTTGCCTCCCTGGCCTTGTCACACGTCTTGTGTCACTCTACCCCTCCTTCTCCTCTCTGGCTCCATCACTCCCCAGTCTTCCCCCTGGGTTTCCACCGCTGCAGCTTCTGTTTCCTGTTCTCTGTCTTCCTTCTTGGGGAGGGATGGGCTCAGCTGCTGCTTCTCCCAGGTGCTTGGCTCTGCCCCAAGGCAGGTTTCAGCTCGGACATCAACTGACGTGGACACCGTCTGCACCTGGGAAACTACTGTGGCTCCACCTGTCCCCATGGGTCACAGGGCCAGCAGGGGAAGTGTGGTGAGTCAGACAACACAAGCTTTCATGAGAAGTTCAAGTCACAGGGTAATGTGATGTGGTTCGGCTCTCAGTCTGCATTAAGG